GCTTTCCGCGGTGCTCCAAGTCCTGAGCAGCTCACCCCGACAAAGCGAAAGGCATCCTTGCACCTCGAGGACAGTGAGGATGAGGATGAGGCTGCCAGCAACAAGTCAAAGAAGCCCCGAAAGGCCACAAACCTTTCGAGTGCTCGTGCAAGCTTGTTTGATCAGGTGTCCAAGCAGATGACGGCAAAGATTGCTTCCATACAGGCCCGGGTGCAGGATGCCAAGAAAGCCCAGACTGATGAGGCGGCTGCCACCAAGCCATCCAACTCAACAGATGTTGCCACTCGCAAGCTCTACAACGATGCCTTGGAAGCGTGCTTGCTTTTGGTGCAAGGCTGGGCGGACAAGACCGTCTTGGTTGCTGCAGCAGAGAAGCACAATGACATGTTGAAGGCAAAGGCCGAGGACGGCAAGGAGCCTGAGTTGGTGGACGTGACCGTCGAGGACACCGTTGCCGAGCAAAGTCCTTGTCTTCGTTTGGCCATCGCAGCTGCAGGTACCAGCATCAATGTGGAGCGGGGCACCTTCCTCCGGACCCAGGCCTGCATGCAACACTTTGCGGAGTCCATCCCTGCCACAGCTGTGGATGCAGATCAGCTGGACAAGCAACGTCTGATTTGGCGTCGCGTGTTCAACTGTGTGACCCAGTTGGAGACATCGTTGAAGAAGTGTTGTGGCGATGTTACCAAACATGTTGGGAGCCTTGCAGCTGCTGCTGAGAAAGATGCCAAGAAGCAGCGGGATAAAGAGGCCAAAGATGCGGCGGCGAACCACATGGCCGCCGTACAGAAGAAGATGAAGCAGGCGAAGGCCGAGGGCTCCGATGCGCCGGCGATCTTCCGCTTGGAGCAGGGCAAGCTGACGACCATGAAGGTTGTGAAGGGCAACGCGATTCCGTCGGATGCAGACTTGTCTACAAGCTTCGTGCTCCAGGAGTGTTCCCATGTGAAGACCTGGTCGGACAATGCGGTGTGCCTCCAAGTCCTCACGAACTTCGGTGCACGATACAAGAAGGCGAATGGTTACGAGCAAGCAGGCAAGGTGACCCAGCCTTTCCAGCAGCGGGGCGGCAACGAGGCCACGGAGAAGTTCTTTGGCGACGTGCTGGCACCGGTGAAAGCCTCCATTGTGGATATCAGTGAATTCGCTCAGAACTGGATGACGACAAGCTGGATGTTCGGCCTGCAGCCGAAGAGGATCATGGCTGGTCTCCCGCCAAACTGTGCTGCTTGCCTGCGTGTGTTGGTCTACGGCGAGATCGAGATCTACACTTTCTCCACATTGTCGTTCTTGGCTGCACTGAAGGAGAAGGGCATCACCGTGCCTAGCAGCACTGCTGAGCTGGAGCAGGCGAGAGGTTGTATTTGTGAAGCTTTGTTTTTCGAGATGCATTCTGCATTATCTTCGGCTCGCCCTTAATGTTCTCGGCTTGAATCGTCCAACCTTAATCTTTATCCTAAACCCTTCCTGTACAGGCCGTGCTTGACACCACGGTCGAGCAATGGGACCTCTTGCAGGGCAAGCTCAAGCCGACGTACCATCTCCTCAAGAAGGACGAGGTGTTGTTTACGCCGGTGGGCCACATGGTTGTCGAGAAGACATCCGCAAGTACGATGATCTACGGAGCGAGAAAGTCCGTACTTTTCAAGGGCATCGAAGCTATCACGGAGTATGCGCAATGCGTGGCACTCGCGCAGAAGGACGGGAAAAACACCGAAAAGATGGTTCAAGTCCAAGATGCTTTGAAGGCTGCTACCGGTTCCGATCAGAAGCAGTCGCAGTAGCTACTGAGCTACTGTGTATTATCAAGCGTGCCGGAGTGCACGTGAGGCGTGCCGGAGTGCACGTGTGTACATGTACTGGCGTGCTCTTGAATCGTCACACTCGAAGGCTGCCAGTCACTTGCAAAAGAGAGTCGTTACACCACATGTTCAGCCTCTTTCTTGAACTTTTCTCACCCAGCCCAAACCCCAGACCCTAAAGCCCCAACCTTAGAGCCTTACACAAAATTGAGCTTTGAGCTTGAAGCAGCATCCCAAACTCCTGAAACCCAAGCCTTAACGTTGACCCTAAACGGCTCAAATACAGGCTCAAACCCACTGTGACGACATCACGTTGTCCAGAGTGGCGTGAACTATG